CAGCTGAGAGAGTGTGTGCGCTGCTGCGCAATTCCCCTTGAGTGGATAGTCCCCTGAATACCAGGGACTGCAAACAAGAGATTGAGATGTCTCTTACCAGCACCCTGTTGATACCAGAGCCCAAGAGGTCTCCCGCAGGCTGCACATAAATATGAAACAGGGCACCCCCGTGGAATTCCACCTACAAGGAGTCTGATGGCAAAAATGCCATTTCCCATCAGCACACTCTTTGGTTACAACTGCCAAAAAAGGACATCAGACCTCTCTCAAGAATTTTCCTGGATTCCTCCTGCCGACACCTGCCTCCACTGAAACAGCTGCGGTTATGGCCTGTGATGGATGGTAATGAATGCCGCAGGGAGCAATCTCACTTTGCTAATGTACAAGAAAAGACAACAGCTTTTTCATCCACAGATAAGAAGAAATCATTCATCAAGGCTATTAACCTGTGTCTCTTCCAAACCTCAGCCTGGAGCTTCTCAGCCTTCAAATTAACTGGGTAAGGGACAGGTACGAAGGAGCATTAGAGGAGAGCCACCCACCACTGCAGCTGCAGGCAAATGTCTAGCCTTACGGGGAACATTTCCAAAGGATCTCGATGCTCTGGGGCCACATGCTGCACTTCTCTTCATTCAGATGCCAGGAAGAGTCCCTTGGATGTGACAAAGGTTCCCTCAGTAACCCCGCGGGGTGTTTCTTCCCCAGCCAAGCTGGGGACATTCAGGGTTCACCAGTTAGTCCTCCAAACTCAAATAGGGCAGGCAGGGATTTCCTGAAATACCTTTTCCCCCTTTCACTGGAACTATCAAGAGGAAAGAGACTGCCCCCTTGATTTACTTCAAGAAATCGGGGAGCTGTTGTCCGTGGGGAGGAGGCTCATTGCTAGACCCAAATTTTGCAGACAGCTATCTGTGGAGTACCTTCCTACCACCTCCTACGGAGAACAACACCGTGATGAACTGAAATCTCCCACCAGCCACAAAGATCTGGGAAAAGCAGCTTTCCCCAGAGAGGCCAGAATCGAGACAAAGTTGAATACAGGAAATTTGAAGTGATCCTGGAGGTACAAAAAAACATGTCCGATGACACATAGGAATTGTCCTTTCTAGAGGGTAACTGCCCTCAGGTCTTCAAAACTCCCTGAAAGTGGACTTTTTTTGGATTTTTGCTGCTTCTGCATCTCAAAATAATCTTTCCCCCTTCCACCCCACCAGTCCCAGGACATACATACCCTTTTTAAACCTCTGACTGGCCAGAAAACAGCACTTTATCCAGTCAAATGCAGAAGTGATGATGTAACAGTCACCTGCATGACTACCGCTCTCTTGGGGCGGTTTGTTCTACCATCTGGAGATCCTCCCGGATTGCCATGATATACCACCACCAGAAATGAAGCCACTGACCCTGGCAGAAGGCATGGCAGCCTTTGTGCTAAACCAAACAGGGTGCTCCTCCCTTGCTCTGTTTCTCTGCATTCAGCCTACAGCCTGCAGCCCACATACGCAATGTAGTCATCCATTAGCAATTCCCCCCAGCACGTGTCTAACACACTGTTTTTTCATAACAAACTTCCTCCAGAAAGGAGGTATGGAAGAGACATGCAAAGAACTTCTTCCGTTTAGGCTAAGTAAGCAGAGAGGCACATGTGCTTGGACTCCCTTTGCAGATGTGATGAAGAGGAGCAGCCAAAACCAGACATCTGTTTGCAGTCACCCAGGGCCAGGGCCAACGGAGAAGAGACATTACCTTATTGCAGCAGATGAGCAGGTCCAACAGAGCTGTTACCACCTGCGCCCTTCTTTGACAAGAGATCGCCTCCATCCCCCGAGCCCTTCATTAACGAAAGGTCTAGCACCCCGCTTTACCAGACTTGTGCCAGCCGAGAGTTTCTTTGCACTGAATTTTCTGCTGACTATATCCAATCGCTTCAAGCAGCACACGATACCCCTGGTAAAGGTGAGGCCTCATTTAAGTCTGTGCTCCCACTTGACCAAGAATACTTTGGACCCATGTGAGCTGCAGCTTCACCTAGCTGTTGCACAGCCAACAGTCGATTTGTCCGTGAAACCCACCTCCTTGCAAGAAGTGGAGACAACTGTCCTATTTAAAGCTGCCACTCCTGGGGGAAGCTAAATGTTTATATCCCTGTCTATCTCGCAAGGCGCTGGAAAGGGAAGTCACTTTCTGGCATGTCTGCTGCTATAAAACTAAAAGAGATTAGGAAGGGGCAGGCAGGCCGGCCTTGATTCCAGCTTCCTTCAGCTCTCCCGCCAGAGGAAGAGCAGTTGCTCTTTTAAGAGATGAAAACATTGCAAGAAATAAAAGAATTGATTTAAAAAAGGAAAAAAAAAGAAAAAAAAGAAAAAAAAAAAAGAAGAGAAGAGAAAGACTGGAAATAAGACAGGAGGAAGGCAGAGATGATTTACAGATCCACATATCAGGAACCTCACTGCTGGAGTATGTGATTGAGCTGGGAAGTGTCACATGAATATGCTGGGAGACCTCCACGCTCTAGGTTCAGATAAGAAACTGAACATTTGTTTTTTATCTGCACTGAACCTGAACTCCAAACCCTTTGAGATTCTGCCAAATCTCTCTCTCTCTCTCTCCTTTTTCATGCATATTCTTCTCATGTGGAAGCTGATTTTGCTTTACGCTTTTGCAATGACGTGTCATGAAACAACACTGGAACGAGGCAATGTCACAGCACAGGACGTGGAAAATGGGATGTAACACATGATGAATTTTTTGGTTCAAGTTCTTATATTTTAGGGACTAAAGTTAAGAAAAGCCTAGAAATTGAACTGGTTTCAAGGTTCCACTTATTAAGACGTTTCTATAAAGGTCATGAAAATGTATCAAACTAACTGCATTTAAAATCCCCCAGCTGTCATCTGTTACAGAGCTTATTTGAAAAGCCATCTCCTGGAAAGCTGTTGGGTTTTTTCCCCCACAGTGTTTGCATTTATGGAAATCGTGCTCGCTGAGGACTTGATACTTAGAAACACTTCCTCCCTAACAGGGAGGAAGGAAAGGCTGGCACTTGGGTTGGTGGCAATGGGAAGTGCGAAGGGTCTGTACTGAACACAAAGAAAAAATTACAAGCTGTAAGACTTCAAATTAATGTCCTGATGCTTCACCTTGTTCTTCAGAAAAAGCTGAGCCTTTCCTTTGATCTCAGAATTACAACTGCATAGAGCCTGATTCTCAGCCACACAAAGAACCTTTTTTTACGTGATGCTGGCAGTACCCACAGACCGTAAAACAAACACCAATTACACGAACACTCATTTGCAGACTTTTGCCAGAACAGTAGAGTGAGATTTTCATTTTAGGACATCAATAAGGTGGCTACAGTCAAATAAGGGCATACTGCAGAGTCTGGTCTGTGTAAAACCCAGAACTTGGCTCAGAAAAGATTTCTCTTTTCATTCCCACCTGATTAATTCTGGGCTGTGTTCTTCAGTTTCATTCCCGCCTGCAAGAGTGGAACAACAGCTATCACTTATTTTCTTTATGAAATGAATTCCTGATAGCAGCTTTAAGCCAAGCACTGATTCGCTCTTCAAAATTAATAAATATTCCTGGAGCACAATGCAACTCATCCCTACTTTAAATCATTTGGAAACTTCTGTAAAACTCTCCAAATAACTGATGGCATTTTCCAAATACATGCTGGCAAAATATAACTTTAACTTAAAGAGTAGTATATTGTGGGTTTCTTCATCCATAAGCATTCAATTGTTTTTAACTTCATTTTTAAGACAAAGGATGTAGGGTAGAAACACTAATAGCTTATCTGCAATCCTACCTAAGCACTAAAATAGGTATTTAATTGTGCCTTTTCAAAACTAGGTGCTTGGTCTTCAAAAAGTGCATAGTACCTATAAGTCCTGACATTTCAGTAGGGATGCAGAACATTGCACTTTTGGAAATGAGGGCCAAGATGTTCACACTGAAGGGAAACAATTACAGTCAATATTTGAAATATGAAACTCAAGATTTAGCTTTTGAAATTCAACATATTTTTTCAATTAAAAATTCCCTAGCTGCCAACCATAAAAATCTTTACGCAGCTCTCAAAGTAAAGTCTGATACTATTTGGTGAAAGAGCATGTCAAGGCCAGAGTCAACAAAATACAGCTGCTCTGAAGCTGGTTGTCACAGCTAATCACGTAGATAATTCCTCTGCTTTCCATGTTGCAGGAAAAAACGCACCTATTGCTGTATGAGAGTCAGATTGCTAAAAAATAGGTTTTTATGCACAAATCTGTTAATATTAACGAACAAACTCTACTTTGACAGATTCACAATGCCTTCTCAGATGAAGATATAAAATAAATACATTATTGACTCCAGAATAGCCCTAGATAATGCTTTTATACATACAGGTAATCATAAGGCAAAACAGACACTAAAAATATATTCTGGCAATTAACACTTTAGGCCTTCATTAGAAAACCAAAAGGTCACATCTCATATATGAAAAAGTCAAATTATCTAGGCTGACATTTACCACTAATTTGAACTGGCACTAGCATGAAAAATATAATTTTACTGCAAGAGGTAGCCTTACCTATAAGTTTAAATGTGCCCTTTAACCATCACTGCTGAAAACAAAGCACTGGAAAATATCTGCAGCCCTGCCAATCGCATCTCAGGATTTTATAACAGAGCAACGTGAAGCAAACAATTAGCGGAAGATTTCAGCCCCTCATTACTAAGCCAAACCTAATGGTAAAAGAAAAAAGCAGCTCTGCCGAGCAGATTAAGGGCTCGATCCCGCTGTGAGGTATTCAGGCACCCATTACCATGCAACTGGCTTATCCACGGATGTGAGCAAATACCAGAGCCGATTTTGCAACACCCACAGCGATGAGCCCGAGCATCCCTGCGCCTCCGAGGAAATAACAGAGCCCTCTGCCTGCCCGCTAAATTCCTGCCGCTCAGAAAGGGAGGCAGGCTTTTGCACAAAGCAGCCGACCTTTTGGGGGACTTACTTCAACTGTCGAGGTTCACAGTCAACTCC